CCATACATACAAAGGAGTTAGCTTAGCTACACTACCAAATATGGCAACCAGCATCCCACGCTGTCAGTGTCCACTATGTCTAAGCCAGCTTCCCTTGACGTCACACAGATCTCGCGAGCAGTTGCGATATTTTGCGAGACTTCGTGAGCTCAGTAATGGCCGCCATATCAGAAGCCAAAACAATGTTTTTCGTCTTTTCTCAGCGCAAATTTCTCGATCTATGGAAGGTTTTAGATGTTTTAGAACACAAAGGAGAATATACGTAAGTACCGGTTCCTGACGTTCCGGTTTTAACCGGACTTGAACCGAAACTTTTTACAAGTCCAGTACCGGTTCGGCGTACCGGTACGCAGCACTATGTGTGTGTGTTTAAAATAGCCCAATTACTTTTACAATAAATAAACATTGAATGTGTTTAATTGAATAGGAAAGGGGTTTAACATTAGTGGTAGGTTGTGTGTGAGAGAGAATAAATAAGACAGCCCAATATTTAAAAAAAAAATCTATTCTTTTTCGCAACTTTCCGCATATTTCGCAACTTCCCGCAATTTCCCCGCATAAAATCACATAAAAACCCTGCATGTTTAATCGCATAATCAAGGATTCTTGCCCGTGTTTTTCTGGAGGGTCTAAGGAGTACAAACACCATCTTCCCTGTATTTCAAACTACAATATGTTCTCTATGAGTATAAGACCTGAAATGAACATTTATTAACTTTTAATGGGATATTTCATGATGATTAGTAGTTGTAAACAATGTCAAATTGAAAAGAGGCGAGCCACTGAACATCCTACATGTAACCACAGTATTTCCGTCATACCTGGCATTGGCATCCCACTCCCCATAGCAGTGAGAACCGGCGTTGGGGCACTCGCTGGCGGTGGAGCGTCTGCAAACAGCTGATGAGGCCTGTCTGCCTGGGAGAGAGGGTTTTGTGCAGCCAGGAGTCGCTCTGCGGCAGAGCCATGTCGCTCTCCTTTGGAGTCCTTCTTGAAGGCGTAGGACACAGTGATGGGCCTGTTACAGAGGTACTGGCCGTTCATGGCTTCAATGGCGGCATCTGATGCGTCGAAGCTCGCAAAATTGATGAAAGCATAACCCTTGGAGTTGCCGGTGTCTGGGTCTCGCATGATCTTCGGCGTCTGGAGGATCACGCCGAAGGCACTGAATGTGTCATAGAGCAGTTTCTCGTCAATCTCAGGGTCCAGATTACCAATGAAGATGTTGGCACCCACATCCAGGTTTTTGTTGTGCGCAGAAGCCTTATTTACTCTAATGGGTTTGCCATAGAGCTTTATCATATTCATGATTTTGATGGCATAGTCAGCATCTTCTTCACTAAGGAACTCCACAAAGCCATAACCTGAGAAGATACAAAAAGGTTGCTACATGCATTTTTCTGGATACAAAAAGATGCACGTTTTTCTCTTGAGTAACAAGAGTTGGACTTAGGGGTTACTCACCTTGATGTTGGCCGGTCACCCTGTCTTTTGGCATGTGCGTGTTGACAACAGGGCCGGCCTGCAGGAAAAGCTCCCATAGTAACGGCTCTGATACTTTTTCATCCAAGCCGCCGACATATACAGTGGCATCTGAAAACATTCATTACAATTTTTAAATAAATGTGAGAGGGAAATTAACTGGATGTCCAAAAATGCATTGAACTTTAAATGGATTTCAAAAGGAAACATTCTCAAGATATAATATACTGTTGAATGAAAGCCTTTGGCCTTTAGGTCATTTGGAGAATATAATAAAATAATGTTGTGAGATTACAACTGGAGGACATGAGATCAACTTTTTTTATGTTTGCAAACTTGAATATATATATATTTAGGATAAACTCCCTGGAAGGCACATCATATCAACAACATAGAAGTTTAAAAAAAAAACATTGAACAGTTAAGCAGAAACTGAAGAAATGCAGTTAGAAAAGAAGTCCACCTTGATAAGGCTGCAACGTAGCCAATAATACTCTCAAATACCTCTTTATAACTTTCATAGACAGTTCTAACTGAAGTGAATACCAATAAGTTTATATCCTAACAGTTTAGTTATATTTTCAGCGTAATTATAATATTAATTTCCACAGAACACATTACTATCATATCAAAGGTTTCAAAAACATATTTCATATAGAAAAATGTGAAGTCACTTGTTTAGCTATTCAACATGGTGAGCTTGCTAGGCTAACTTTAGCTGTTAGCTAACAGAATGTACCTCTGCTTCTAAATGACTCACAACAGCCGCAGCAATACTTCCAATGAATACATAATCAACACTGCACCAACGTTATCATAACGCAAAAATGTGAAATACATTAAGAGTATATTAAACTTAATTGAATGGATAAAGCGGCAGCAAGCTAAGCTAACAAATGAACACTTCCATGTGATGCACCGGCGGATGTTTACCACTAACTATGAGCTAAACCGGCGCTCATACACATGAGGAAAGCAGTATGACATGTAATTCACATGCAGATTCAAAGATGAGTTAAAGAAAAGTCTGAAACAGAGTTAATAAAGAGGTATTTACCTTGGTTTCTTTCTGAAATTGGTCCCGCTGCCATGTTGAATGAGCAACGCCAGGCAAGCGTCCTAAACTGAGGCCCCGCCTCTTCCTGTCTGTGTGTTCCGGGAGTAGAAGTGAAATAAAATAAAGAAATACATTTTTTAAAAGCCCTACCTATTTACGCATTCGTTTTTGAAGAATCTTTAACATATTTATTTGTACAACAGTGAGCAATGTTGTGAATGTCAATTGACAGGCCTTGTTGTTGTTTTATCATAATGCTATACCTACTTTGATCAAAGGCAGGGTTCCTACCATTTTTGACAAATTACTTTTCTATGATTTCTATTCTAATCTATGAAACACATGCAAGTTCATAAGGACTGCAAATTAGCTTCAACTAGAAGCCCGTCTTTGATACATCAGTTGCATTACATCAGTGTTTATCTGCATTTTACTAAACATTAAAGATTTATTAAAGAGGAACCGGGAATTCCTGCAGACATAACATTGAAACAATCTATTTTGCCATAGCCCTTTTCCTTCCTAGCCCGTTTAGAGCAAAGGTCCATGTGTGGAGCACACTATGCTTTTGTATGAAATGGGTACATTTCATTCTAAAATGTTTTTGAAAAGCTATTTTTTTGGTGTAAATTATACACATCACATACCAATAAAACATTACTAATAATTACCTTGTTATACTAGTTGTGATTGAAACAAGTAACAAGACCATTTAATACACTTTTGTATGAGCCATTTTATTACATTATATAAATCTAATAAAAGTATAAACATGGAATACAAAATATTCATAGAAAATACATACAATAAGAGCCTTCAGAAACACTATCATAAAACAATACTGTATGGAATATGAAACATTAAAAACAAACTTAATCAACACAACATGCATAAAAGATAAAAAGCCCACGTTTTTTTATAAAATGGATACCAAAAAAATATATTGTTTAAAAAAGCCTTCATTGATAATGATCACAAAGAAAGATACAAGGCATTTTTAAGAAGAGAGCTGGAACATGAATGGCTTGTAGTCAAAAATCACACACAGAAAAAGCATCCAAGTAACAAGAAAAAAATAAAATAAACACAAAATGTAAGATCTCGAGCCTCATTCCTGTAAAAAGATAATTCAAATAGTTCATCTCTGCAGATGAGGTTCTGGAAGCAGGAGAAAAGATTTGCAGGGTTCGAGCTGCAGAGTTGTGAGGTTTAAGTGTTCGTTGTTTCAGTTCAAATGTCTATTTTGACTTTTCAGTATTGACTGAAGATTGCTGCAGAGACAAAACTTACTCAGAAATATCTTCCTGGTTGTGCTGCACACATATTTTGCAAGCTGAGTACCAAACAAACAATATATAATGATTATAAATGTATACCAAAGGTAACAAGATTTAATAAATCCTTCATAAACTTATGTCATGTCACATTTTAATATTTCAACATTTGGAGAAATTTGCTTATTCATCTTCAGGTGGCCAGATTCACGTCTCTACTCTAACAATTCAGATAATCAGCCTTTAAGCTAAGCTGAAGCCTTACATTTAAAATGGACTAATAAGAGATTAGTAACTCTATTTCAGAAAGGGAATAAGCACATTTCTCAAAATGCCAAACATCTTCTTTGAGTAACAATAATATAGCATGTCATATTTAGCTTTACATGAAATAACAAAAACATTTTAAAGAGAGTAAAGCCTCCTTTAAAGACCACAGTAAAGGAAATGAAATGTTTAGGTTTTTTACATGTGTAACCAATTTAAAAAAGGCACAATGATTCAGGGAAAAGAGACGCAGCAGTGAAGTAATACAATTAAATCTGGCTTTAATCATACTCCATCTCTGCTTCTTTGTTTTTTATTTGCAGACTCCCCAAATGTAGTGTAATCAGTTTCTGCTGTTGATAATCCAGCATTTAGCAGTGAGAATGAGCGCTCCTGCTGTTTAACTTGCATAACTCACTGCCCACACTACATCCAACAAGAGCAACACATTATCCATTAAACTCTCACTTCCATTACATGGGGTCTTTAAAAAGGCAACCCACCAACATGACTTTATCCGTATTATGCATTCAATACATTTTAGATACATGGAGAAATATGAAGATATCACATATTCAGCATGAACTAAATTAGGTCCTTCAACATGAAAACATTTGATAAGTGCGACTCATATACATTGTTTTTAGCCCATTGACATACACTAGCACTGCTAACAAACAAACCGCTTGTTGAAACACAAAAGATCCCTCAATTTGTTTTTTTGGCCTTCACATTTAGACTCCAATCAACACTGTTCTTTGACTCGATGAGATCATGACCTACATTTGAGTCTACTAAACTCTGTTCTCTAAATGAAGCACATGACAAACCCATCCTGCATCACAATAACAATTCAGTCGTCTAAATGTTAAACAGCATTGCTTTGCAGATCCTTAGTTGATAGCACACTGAAAATATACATTCAGCTACTGTCATGGTCACCAAGCACACAATGAACACTAAAATAGTAAAAAGCCCACCAATAAAAAAGAAATACATAGTGACGGTTCATTATCTGATTTCTTTTTCAAAAACCTGAGCAATCAGTCAAATGCTGATATTTCAACAAAGAACCTACAAATTCTTATATGAGTGTGCTTCAATGCTGTCTTGAATTCATTTCAATTGCCACATATATACACTTTGTTTTCATTACAACAGGCAGAACACATTCTTGTAACAATTATGGAGGGTTTAGGGATGTACGATATGGTATTTGCAGATATTTGATATACCGATATTCTGTAACCATATTCTGTTTCCACATGTGGCCGATTGCCAATGTGGAAACCGATATGCACATATTTTTTATCCATCATATTGCAGGAAACATAAAGCCTCTCCTGTAGTGGAATTATTTACATATCATTATGCCTACTGTTGTCCCGATGGCCTTCTGGCATATGCAGACATTTTGAAGAAATGTGAACATTGACTAAGCATAATAAGAAACACTACTTTAACTAAGGCAACATGTAAAACAAATCATATATTTTTTTTTATGTAACATATCAGCATTTTTGTTTCCAAGGACATTTTTACTCCTGGGTGATTCCTATATTTCATTTTAAAGCCTCTATCTGACGATACCGATAGTTAGTTGGAATATTTTATCCCCTTGCGGTTTTTGTGTGTTTCAAAAATATTTTGATTATTTATGTACACAGGGTACTTACCATTTAGATTTAAGGACCCATACATTTTTTCATCTTCACTTGCTGGTGTCCAAAATACTATCAGAGTAAACACAGCCAAATAAAGGAAATAAAAAAGATTAAGAATGATCCAAATCTTTAAAAAAAAATGTTGGTTTGGTGGTATATAAACTTACGTCCCGTACATTCAGTGATGAAAGGCAGGGTGTGTTTCGTCTACTTTGACTCAAATAAAGTATGAAATAATAAAAAACATGTTAACCCCAAGTCAGTTGAAAAAGCCCAGCAAGTTTACAGGTATCTTTTTTAAAGCACTGTTATCCTGTAATCACTAGGCACAAAGAGGCAACGGCTATAACGGCAAGGGTTGGTTTTATGGACGGTTGTGCATACTGTAAATCAAGGCCTGATTACCTGGTCCTCATGGTATTCAAAACACAAGATACAAACCCTTTCAGATGAAGCACCTTTACATATATGATGTAATCAGTACTGTTACCGGGAGAGTGAAGGCATGTTTTTCCACGATGGAGGCAGGTTTAGTGCGAGGGCAGCGTGGCAGTGTTGGCTGCGTTGAGTTGGCCCACAGCGATCATCAGGATGTCCTTCTTCTCTTTGTAAAAACGCAGTTCTCTTCCCGCCAGCCTCGCGTCCTCCAGTTCTCGCTCCGTCGACGCCACCTCCTGCGCGATAGTGCTCGCCACACTCTGCTCCCGGTTCACCCAGTCGGCCGCCATCTGAGTGCGCATGTCATCATCCAGAGCCCGGTTGGAGTAGTGAGCCAGCACTTCCTGCACATAAAATGAGACAGAGGAAGCTAAGTGGACTTCCAAGGTTAAATGTGGTCAGGCTTCAGGAAATCTCTGCCTGTGCGTAAAGCAAGCGTTATATTTCAAATGATATAAGGAGATAATGATCTTATTCAGACGGACACGATTGATACTCTTTCTTAATCATTCTAAAATGTTGTGTTTCTGCTATCAGTTGCATTCTTTTTCTAGCAATGTACTGCACAGTTAGTTTGTACCTCACATACACAAATAAGTAGTGGGGCAAAAAAGTATTTAGTCAGCCACCAATTGTGCAAGTTCTCCCACTTAAAACAATGAGAGAGGCCTGTAATTTTCATCCTAGGTATACCTCAACAGGAGGTATGATGTTTTACACCCCCATGTTTCACAGTAGGTATGGTGTTCTTCGGATGCAACTCAGCATTCTTTCTCCTTCAAACACGTCTGGTTGAGTTTTTACCAAAAAGTTCTATTTTGGTTTCATCTGACCATATGACATTCTCCCAATCCTCTTCTGGATCATCTAAATGCTCTCTAGCAAACTTCAGACGGGCCTGGACATGTACTGGCTTAAGCAGGGGGACACGTCTGGCACTGCAGGATTTGAGTCCCTGGCGGCGTAGTGTGTTACTGATGGTAGCCTTTGTTACTTTGGTCCCAGCTCTCTGCAGGTCATTGACTAGGTCCCCCCGTGTGGTTCCGGGATTTTTGCTCACCGTTCTTGTGATCATTTTGACCCCATGGGGTGGGATCTTGCGTGGAGCCCCAGATCGAGGGAGATTATCAGTGGTCTTGTATGTCTTCCATTTTCTAATAATTGCTCCCACAGTTGATTTCTTCACACCAAGCTGCTTACCTATTGCAGATTCAGTCTTCCCAGCCTGGTGCAGGTCTACAATTTTGTTTCTGGTGTCCTTTGACAGCTCTTTGGTCTTGGCCATAGTGGAGTTTGGAGTGTGACTGTTTGAGGTTGTGGACAGGTGTCTTTTATACTGATAACGAGTTCAAACAGGTACCATTAATACAGTTAACAAGTGGAGGACAGAGGAGGCTCTTAAAGAAGAAGTTACAGGTCTGTGAGAGCCAG